TATATATATATATATATGCATGCACACATACCAATCATATGTCAAAACATTGCTAAACCTATCTTTATTAATGGTAAAAAACAATACTAATTGTATAACTTAACTTCTTTACATAAACCTTGGTGTTTTTTTAGAACAAAGAGGCTCAGTTATATTGTCTACAACGTCTATATGTCTGTATAATGTCTATATAACGTCAGGACTCTATGTGGTAAAATAAATATGAGAGCAATAGTGTGATTGATTAATGTGGACTGTTTGGCACTGACCAGCTGGTCCAGGTAGTCCTTGATCCTGGGCAGGTAAGTGAGAGAACTGATGGCCACCAGGCAGCTCAGAGCGAAGTCAAACAGCTGGTAGCAGAAAAACGGGATGAGCCAGCCGTCACGATGCTGAGGGAAACGATAGCAGGTGGAGATAAAGTCATGTTATAAACAAACTCGTCTATTGGGCAGATATTATTTGAGGCTATTGAGGAAATGGAACATGTTGCCTTTTTTCAACCTTATCTTCTCGCACTTGTGTATCTGTCTCCAGTAGGTTGGTTATATTGATCTATACAGACTCGTTGTTTTAGAGTCTGACATTAGTGCTCAGAGTTTCAAATTCTAACCTTGGTTCAAATGTCTAATTAGAGCGTTTCTGGATTGAAAACATTTTTCCTACTACTCAGGCTGTGACTGCATCATCAGATGTGGTTTGGGGTAAATGAAAGGAGCCTGCCCACAGAGACGGGGAGGGCTGACATTGTAACTGTGTACACCAGCATGTGCTACTGTAACAAATACACAGAGAAGGTTGAAAATCAACAAAGTGGTCCTTTACTGGGTCACATCACAAGAATCTCTACAGGCATTGTGGGGGGTTTTCTACCAAAAGCACAGTAGCCTTGACATTCCTACATGTAGCAAAGTACTGAATATCTTTGTTATATTATAATCGTGGTTTAAACATTCGGGGTATCTCATTGGGACACTACAGTGCTAACAGCAGCTCAGTTCCTCCACGCTGTATCGGTAAAAAGGGGACTCGACTACAGTTGTCTGGGCGCGTGTACTTGCACAGCTAAATCACAACTCATAACTCAGACTGTACTCAGCCTGCAGATGTGTGTCATACTTTAGCTGTGCAGTCACCCCAACTAGCAGCTTAAGGCATGGCCGCTTCAAAAGGCTATCAAACCTGTCAGTCTTGATGCCATCAGGCAGGCCTGTGAGGTAAAGATGACAGGCAGTGAGAACATGACATTGTGTGCTACACTCACACTGCATCACAATTTTGAACGTACAGCTAAAATGTACTTCAGTTAAAAAGAAACAGAGGAGGGTGCTTTGGTGTTTCCTGTTACGTCTTACTTACCACTTGATGCTATGATAACGCAACCTGAAAGTAATGCTTTTTTTCATGCATGCATATTCTGAGATTACACATTTGCATAAGAAACCCACGAAAAGAGAATTTAAAAAGCAAAGAAAGGCAGCACCATATCCTCTGTGCACACTTACAGTAATGGCTCCATACACCATCATGGCACTGATAGTGAGCATCAGCAGAGAGATGGCAAATCCAACACAGGCATTCTCTGTTTGAGAAAAAGTGAGAGTAAATAAATTGGCCAAGCGAAGGAAAGGTTTATTACAATCTTTGTGCAGCGTCAGACTTAATGTATGTATATATATATATATATATATCAGTGAGTGGATGAATCATGTATTTTCCTGATCTCTTTGAAGCAGCAGGGCTTTGCGCACAGTGTAAGTGAACTGTCTCAGGGGCTTCTCTCTTTCCAGCTAATTCCGTTATAAAAGGCCAGCTCTGGGGAGCATTAAGCCTCTCCCTCTCAGCAGCGTAGTGTTGGTAAAGAGACAATGAAATCCAGTCTGGGATAATTAAAAGGCCTGCCCTTCGTATCCTATTTTCTCTCTGTTATTCAGATTCTGGCTTCCTCAAACTGTTCTGCCTGTTGCACTGGAGATGTGCTGCTTGTGAGAGAGCTACTGCGGCAATGCAGTCCAGAGACATTTCTTTGTTATTCAGTAGCTGAAGCAAAACAACTTGTACCTCAAAAGTATGCAACTGTCAGAGGGCTGCCTGGAGCTCATCTTTAGGATATTCATTAAATTCTGAACAAAAAGGGGCCTGTATGTTGGAGTCGATCAGTTCCATCCTCCTTTTTTGGATTCATGAGTGTTCATGAGTACCAGTATTTAGTTATAGGTTTATGATTGAGCAGGGTAAGAAATGCTATTTAATATTAAATCTCAAACAAAAAGTGCGCAGATCTAAAAGACAGTCTTTATACAATGTCCTCTACTTTTTCTTCTCGAATCTAATTATTGTTTTCTTAAACCCAATCTGACGTCTTCAAATTGCTGTTTTGTCCGAATAAACAGTCCAAAACCCGAAGATATTCTGCAACCAGAGAATATTTAGCATTCTGTATTTACCTCTAATTAACTTAAATGACAAATACTTAGATCAATCCAAACTAAAGACCAGACACCATTTTCAAATGCTCTCTCTGTCAGTTAAAATAACTTTTAAACACGGCCTGAAATGTGAAATAAAATGAGTGCAGCCTTATGAAGCTGCAATAATACACCAACATTGCCTCTGCGGGCTGTGGACAACCTCCACTGCTCGGGTGCTGGCATGAGCCTGCTGTGGGAAGGTCAGCCCACCACGATTGTTTCCCCTCCTCTCCCACTGAGTCACTGTTTCAGAAAAATGAAGAAGCCTTCACCGAGCCAACTACCAAAACAACCGCCAGCTAGAAATAAAAGGCACCCCGACAGTCCTGCCCTGGCACATATAAACACAAACGCCTAGGACCAACATAAATCCTTGAGGAAATACAAAAAGAACCAGTGACACCAACAACAACAACATTTTTAGACAACATGTACACAGCACAGCAGTGTTCTGTTGTCCTCGTGAGTTGTTTTTGTTTTGCAGTCAGTGGGGAGTGGTGCTCCCTGTGGAAGATGAATCACATGTTCAACCACAGCATAAAAGCAGCGCATGAGTTAGTGGAAAAAAAAAAAAAAAATCCAGTGACCGAGAATACGTATTCACAGTGGAATTAAACCGGCCCACCTAAACCGAATGTGTTGGATGTGTAAATGCTCGGTAAAGTCGATGAAATGTCTGTTTTTATACTGCAGTTTGTTAGCCCTTACAGTCGTTCTGGTGTAGAGTTCACGGCTTACCAGACATCCTGTCAGAGGCAAAGTAATGGTCGATGACCTCATACTGCAAGTCAATGGTTGGCACGTTCTCTGGGTGGGTCACAGCTACAGTCAGCAGGATGCCCATCAACAGGTTGACCACCTGAGGAGAGGACGGATGAAAAGAAGGTTTCAGAAAAGGACTCTAGTAGAACGTCTGCATGTCTTTACATAACTTACAAACTGTGTATCCTCGTGTGGGGACGACCTCCTGGAAGAACCCGGTTTTAGTTTCCCGTACTTTATGATTTTTTTTATTTACCACCGCAGCTTTGCACAGCTGAAACAACTGCATTTGTTTCTTACGAGTGCAATAGAAATATCTCTATCTTTACGCTGTTAATACAACTATTTTAAAATATTTAGTTTTCAAAAAGGAAGCAATGTTAATGCTGCTGGCTTATCTTCTCTATCTTTAAGTTCAGTTTTTACAGTTTCATATATATTATTCCTTCACATATTGTATAAGTTTGTAGAGCCAAGAAACCCCTACAGTAATACTTCTGTACATACATGATTGCAATAACATGTTGTTTATAGTCTATGTACTCCTGACCGTAGAATAACCCACTATAAACCTATATAAAACAGACCAGTCAGGCAAAAAAATTATAAAATAATACTGTGATATACCGTGAAACCACATTATGTATCCTTAAATAATTAACAACATATTCCAAATATGGTTTAGGGTGCATTTAAAATCTAATTCTTGCCTCACAAGCAGCTTTTGTTTCCAGCTCATGTCAGTGTTGTAGGAAAATGAACTTGCAGAGATATGGATGAGATGGATGAGGCAAGATTACACTGAACAACTTATCCTTTTTTTCAGTCAAGGTTACTTTATCATCATGTGGGAATGCAGTCATGAGGAGGAACCATTCAGACTCAAGGACGCTACAGCTTTCAAGCATTAACAGTCAACAAGATACAGCGTGTCGTTCCACAAGACAAACAAGCTCCTGTAAATACTGAGAAAAAGAAATGACACAAGCTGGCGTCTAGTGAAACTGATGGTTATCGACCATTAAAAAGTAAAACTCATTATACACTGTGAAACAGTTGGAAATGTTGTGAAACTTGAAGCTGAACTAGCTTTTGAGAAGTGGAACTAAAACTGGATCCAAGACTGCGCTCAACGAAACAACACATTATAGTCCACCAACTCACGGGGTGTAAAGCCTCGCCTGCCTGATCAAGTACCAAAGTTAAAACTGTAAAATCCTCTTTCAGAAATGGTGTTTTCCAGGTTGCGATTTTATAAAAAAACACCATAAAATCTTAATGACAGATGGATAGGATCAAAAACTCTTGACTGAGAAGCAAACAAACACTTATACTCACTTTATTTACAATATTTCAGTCCTCACACATTTCATAATGCAATATTAATACACTTACTTTACCTATTGAGGGCCAACATGCTGTAAATAAAGCAAGTACAAGTTTCATTGTGCTCTTCCCAGTGGTTTCGTTTTTGTTTTCTCTGCGATCTAAAACCCTACTTTAGCTTAACCTAAAATAAATTAAAGTGATAAACTTAGAACAATATATTCAAATTCATAGAATAACATAAAAAGACTAAAATAAAACATATACAGTTATTTATATACATATACATACACGTATACGCCCAGGAAATAATTCTGCAGTGCATCTTTTCAACATAACCAGTGATGGAAATATGGTTTCATCTTCACATACAAAGAAACAGAAAGAAGCAATATTTTCCCCAAACAATGACTAAAATGTAAAAAGTGATTTCCACAGACCACAACTTCCTATTAAAGGTATTTTCCAACTGTTATTTAAAGATTTAAAAGCTTTATTTTTAATTCCTCTGAGCCTCTTTACATCATTCCTCCAGAAAAACAGAGCTTGAACACACACACACACCTCCAGTCAATGATCATTAACCTGTCACCATGCACCAAACACACATTTATTTCAATATGGTTGATTTTAATTGGCCTTTGTCGACAGTTTTGAGATTGCTGTAACAACGTGGAAATAGAGGAACACTTAAGAAGTGTTTTAAGTGGCAAATATTGTCCAGCTGGAACAAAAAAAACAAAGTGAAAACCAAGAACATGTGTTATGTGTTATGGTGAAAGGAAAGCGGATTAATTCAGCAACGAGTTAGTGAGAGTGCAGAGGGCGACTGGAGCTAACATTAGATAGCTGTGAAATGCTTACTTCCCCTTTTTTTTTACCTACATTCAGCACCCAATGACATTAAACACCAGAGATAAGATAAAAACATCCACTAAAACATCCATTGTGACTGTAATCAACTTGTGTTATGAGGAGTTCCCTCGTTACCAAGCAGCGCTAACGTGCTATAAGGCTGCACAAAGTTAAGCTAAAAAAAATAAAAAAATGTCACGTATTTTACAACAACTTGTGAGCAGCTGCTGCCCTGTTGTCTTTTAACCGTGTTTCTAGCCGCACTTCTCAAAGCTCGGTCGAGTTAATATCGACAGGAACAACGAAAACGACAGCGGGCTAGTTGCTAACGCTAGCTCCAGATCTACGTTACCTCGGAGACTAACGGCTGCTTCTAACGGCTGTTTCTAGCGGCTGTTTCTAACGGCTGCTTCTAACGGCTGCTTCTAACGGCCCTCGCTAACGTACAGCTGACATTGGAGCAACCCACAACGGTCATTATCGCCTCGTTATGAGGAGCCGTCGTCGATCCGCGGTTGACATTCATTATATAAGCTGCTGCTCGAGAGAACTTGTCACACTTGGCAGGCAGCGCTAGTCCGCGTTAGCTCGTCGACCATTTTACCCACCATGTACCAGGTTCCCAGGATGATCGTCCCCGTCCGGACATGGCAACATCCGCAACACCTGGTGGTGTACAGTCTGTCTCGACTCGGCTTAAAATGATGCATGTCCTCCACAAGCGTAGGAAGAAACATCGGGAGAGCTGTTCGTGGTGGAGGAGATCCCAAAAAAAAAAAAAAAACCCTTCTGAGCGTCAACAGTGAGCGGACACGGAGGAGCGGACACCGAGGAACGCCCACCACTGCGCGACACCGCGGATCAAAACAAACGCTCTGACGGGGCGGAAGGGGCGGGGACTAGCGGTTTAACGTTGATTGACAGGGGTTTGAACCAATGGCGGTGAAGACGTTAAAAAGCATGATAGATAGATAGATAGAT